GTGCGTTTTCCTCAAGCAAACTTGCTCGGATAGCGTGAAATTATCTCAGCTCTCTTGAGTTTTGCTCCCCCCGTGTTTAATTTATTGATTTATGCCCAAATTAATGCTGCCTGAAGAATTGGAGGGGAAGGAGCGTTACGAAAGTGCGTGATTTACTTTGTTGTAATTTTAAGACAACCGACGACTAATGGCTGTTTTTTGATTAGCGTTGTGAAGGAAACCGGCATGATGTTTGAAGGAGGAAAAAGGCGAGCAGTTCCACGTTTGAAAATAAATAATGAGACGTTTATGAGAGGAGGTGCAAACTTACAGGGGATGAAAATATTTTCTAGTTTAAAAATAACGTGAGCTGATTTTCCTTTCATTTAGCTTTGTTAAGTGTATACAAATGATGACAGCTTAGACTACTTGTACTGATTCAAGCTTTTTAGAGAAACCAGCTAAGCAGCAAATAAGAAAAAAATGCAGTTATCAGGTACCACCGTAGTATGACAAAGCTGTTGCTATGTGAATATATAATGTGAATATGTGAATATATAATAAAGTGTTATATAATATAACACTTTTTATCGTTTTAACCGAATTAATTTGAGCATTTGGCTGATCAGAAATTATGGATGGAGGGAGATTTGGAAAACGTGGCATGGGTACTTATGGCCTGTTTCTTGTTACATTGTTTGTTTCCAATTTGTTTTATTAGAATTGGCGTAGTTAATAGAAATAATCCTAGCAGGTGAGGAATATGATTTGAAGCAAGAAGAGAAAGTTGGAAAGAATCTTTAGTTAGAAACTTCTTTTTTTTTTTTCCTGAGGTAATGGGTACTTTCCCTGAAGTTGGTGTTGACCTTAACTGGAAAGCTGTGGCCTTACTGAATCATAGAATTAGTATGGCAGAGGCTGTTTCGATAATTATTTGTTGTTTTCACCTTTGTAAAAGAATTACGGCATATTTCTGTGAGAATATTCTGGTTTTCTGATGCTATTTTTTTTGTTGTTCATTTTGGAATGTAATCTCTAATTGAGTTTACTGTTTACTTTTTAATAAATGCTTTCTATTCCTCAGTGGAAAAAAAATATATATATATATTTAGCTGGGGGGGAGTGGGGGAAGAGCCTTCTTTCCAGACTCTGCAACATACTGCGGGCAAGTGCAGCAATTAAACACAGCACGCTGCATCAGACTCCAGGCGTCAATATTTTCAAGAATGCTTGACAGCAGTTACAGTGCTAAAATTATGTTACGTAACGTATTTGAGGTTTAAGGTACACCCAAACCCCACGAAGGTATGCTTTCATCTGGTTTTTGTTGCTTTTTTCCCCTATAAATGCACATTCCTTTAGAGAATGTCAGCGTCTAGACAAGCAAGTGGGGCAACTTCAGTTCTGGTGGCCAAACTAGAGAGTATTACTTTACAGGGTATACGCTTACTTCTGAACTATGCCAATGAAGTGTTATTTAAGGAACATAGAGCCCTAATTTCTCACCTCGGAGCCATGCAAACAGTCGCGCTCTCTTCACAATCCATTGGCTGAGAACTGAGTTTCACCTCCAAATGGAAGTGGACAAATTTGCACAGTTCAACTGAGTGGATCCAGTTTAGGAATCTGGATTGCATTTTGCTCAAATTTATTATGAATGCTTGGTTCGCTTGTCTTTTTTTACTATTAGGAGAGGAGCACGGTCACACTTCTCTGCAGAGCGAACCTTTCCGGTTTGCATCACTGCCGAGCGCTCCTTTGGCCTCATAAAGAGGAAAGGGGGAAGAAGAAAGCAAGGCTCTTACTGAGGTCTTGGCAAAGGGCAGCTCGCTTTTCCTGAGAGGGTGTTTGATGGAGGAAAAGTCTGCCTTTCCTCCCCAAACACTTTCCTGACGCTCCATCTCCACCCTTGGAGTTTTGGATGTTCCAGCTTGAATGAGTTAAAGCCCTGAGAAGGCCAGAGGCATTTGCCATTAAGGCACTGTGCGAGGAGTTAAAACTTTGCTTTTAACTTGCTCCTATTTAAAGAGCACAGGCAACAATTTCACTCATGAGGGATCTTTGTTTTAAAAGTCTGATGACATTAAATGAGGGATTAAATCTTTAAAAAAAAATGAGGTAGAAAGCACCCGGTGCGGATTGTTTGTTAAAGGAATGTAAAACAAAAAAGGGTCTAGCCACAGATACCCTGGAAGGAATAGTGTTACCATTTCCTAAATGAGCCGTGTCATCTCTAATATGCTTATAAACTGATAATCGCTCCAAGAAAGCTAAGGATATGAAGACTCATCTCTCCATGGATCCCTGGAGTTACTCTCTTCTGTTGCAATAGCAGTTTCCTTTGGAACAAAAGCATTAAGTTTCGTGAATAGCCCTGCTTTGGAAGAAGTGCAGAAGGCTTGCATCTGTCCCGTGTTTGCCAGGAATTGCCAGGTACTGGAGTAGCAAGCAGCAGATCCTCAGGAGGCGTTCAGTAATACTCAAACACAAACGAGAGTGCACAACATTAGCGTTACCAGAAGTTTTCTGTAGGCCAGCTAGATTTTTAAGGGTTTTCTTACATTTTTTTTCCCTCTTTTCCCCTTTTCAAAGCAATTTTACTATCTGCTTGAAAATAAGAAAAAGAGATAAAAATAAATCTTAAGACAAATCTGTAGGCCAACAGGTAAAAACTGTTATTTTAGGCTATATTGTATCAGATGCTCATTTTACCTCCAGTGATCACCACTGACACATCCGCTTCCCCATAATTACTGTGTTGTTATGTTTGAGGTACTGCGAGAAAAAAATTAGTGGCATTCTTGCAGCAGCTTTTATGGAAGAGCACCTCATTTTCATGTCTGTAAGGACGTACCCACAAATTGTGATGTTTGCAGCCTGAAAAGCGACCAGGGATGTCTGATATGGCACTACAAACATTATGAATTACAAAATTAAAGCAAGGCTCGGGAGATGGATGTGAGAAGACAGGAATTTTCATGCTTTGTCATGTACTCTGTTGAGAGAGAATTCTAGGCCAGGCTACATCTGGAAGGGCTGAGAGATGTTATGACCTGTGCACAACTGTTTGTTACCTTCTTGTTGTTATTTCACAGTAGTACAGGGAGGGCTTGGCTTCTGTTCCTAGATACTTATCTTGGTAACGTAAGCTGTTTTCTGGCATCATAAGCAAGTATGTAAATGTTCTTTTAAACTTAGGGGAGTGTTACAGAGGAAAAAAAAATAAAATTTAAAGAAGAGAAATCTTCATTTGGTACTTCCTTTTGTTTCTACATCAGTGTAGCTGTAAATTTTATCTTAGCCTGACTCTCTCTAACACTATCAGCTGTCCTTCCTGAGAAAAAAATGATGGCAGCTCTTAGGTTTTGTTATAAATGTGCTCTTGCATTTCTTTTAAAAACACAGAGGAAAAGAGGAAAGAAAGACCAAAAGCTATGAAAGCGCAGAATGTGTCTGAGGTGATTTAGGCAGTGGAAATGCAGAGGTTCAGCACATTTTAGGCACCCTTATTACATTGGAGTAAGACTTATTTCTTTTAGAATCAGGCCACTAATGCTTACTTGTAGCTTTTGGCCTGGTCATGGCAAAACATTGCAAGGTTAAATTTATTATGTGTTGCTAAAGGAGAGTCTGAAAAGCAGGCTCAGGCAGCGAGGCGGGGAGAAAAGGGAGCAAAGTAAAGTGTGCAGGGCATCTAGGCTACAAAAGTGTGTAATACATTCTCAAGGCACGACGTTCGGAGGTATCGCAGACCCTCCCTTGGGCTTTGCGTTCACCTAGAGGGAGAGGTCCCCTGGTCTGGTGCCAACTTGCTGCACAGCTCTTGTGACCTTCCGTATGTCCTTCTCTGCACCCGCACCCGGCTCGTCCTGCTGGTCCACGGAGTGACGAGCGTGTCCCTCAGCTCTTCTCCCAGGGGGCGATTCACGATAGACTATAACATAGGATTAACCGACAGGTGCGCGACGGAGGGATTATAAAAGCCCTCTGAAAATCTCAGGCAGTCAACTCAACCAAACGTCTCCAAAGGCAGAATAAATTCCTGACGCAGGGCTAAAGGTTGAGGCAATCTATTTCCATCTCTCCCATCTGTTGCTTCTTGTTTCCTGTGGGCATTTCATTCCTATGATATGTGTTTCTTTAATGAGCAATTCTAATAAGGGTCGCGTTGTCTCCTGCCCGAAGAAGAGGAGTTAGCTGTGAATTTTTCAGAGCCGCTATACGCAAGGGTATGATAGGTGACCACAAAGCACTCCTGTCTTCATCTTGAGTTGAGTGCTCTGAGTCTCTGCAACCATCGCAAGGGCCTGATGCTAGAGGTGATCCTCAGTGTTAAATATTGTGGCATCAATAACGGTGACCTAAGACTTCCAGGAACTG